AGAACAGCCACACTGATCTGCTAGTGTCCATTTATGGGTATTGTGAGTGATCCCTCAGCATGCCATCAGCTGCTGGAACCTCTATCCCGACAAAACAGAGTTGAATCCGTCGCCTGGAGTCATCTAGCACAGGTCAGAGCACCGGCTAGCAGTCTGTTTATCTGTTGCTGCATTTGTGGTGACCCGTACATCTGCACCAATAGCCTGCTAGCTATTCCTCTTGCTGTCTACTTGTCTCTATTTGTGACTCACAACTGCATCACGACCGTCACGTGCTCGCATCTGCGTTTCAGGTCTCGGGTCGATCACTAGCTGGGTACCACATACTAGCGCCTTTGTTAGAAGGCTGCTAGCGCATAGTTTACTACCCTTCAGATTCCAGACTCGTTGCTTGCACCGCCTGCTAGTGCCCTCCCAGTATCACTCTCCTGTGTCTTGCTTCCTAGGTGCTAGCACCTTGACTGTTTAGGCTTATGGTTATTTCCCCGTGGTTTGTGCCTCCAGACCGTGCTAGCGTGTCACACTAGTCGTATCTGGTGCTACAACCGGCAGCTTGGGCTCACTCCAGTTCTCCTTTATATCACCTAGCTAGAGTCCTGAGTGTGATAACACTTCAGAAGTGCTAGCGCTTTCCAGTTGTATAAATACTGGTCTTAGGAAATCACAAAATAACACTAGATGCCACGTGCTCTTGTTATGGTGTTTCAACGGATCAGGTGGTTCGGGTTTAACAATAACCAGTTACCCTGGCTGTGGTTGAACCTCGCTTATCAGCTGTCCGATCATTGTTGCCATCCTTATTTGGTTACTTGAACCAGGCCAGGACAGTAACTCACATATCTCCACAACCACTTGGCGGTTTGGGCTGATTAAGGTACTGGCTCAGAGCCAGTACCTGTGTCTACCTAAAACTGAAGGTCCTGAATGGGGGACAAGAGGATAGAAGATGGGACTGTCTACACGATTGAACAGGGAGCAGTCACACTGGGCACACTCAAGCATTGACAGGTCAACACACAAGGATCCTATATATTTACCCACACGTGATTAACTACAGACATCTTACTCATATACCAGCAAGTAGACTAATCATCGTATTGTAAGCGTAATTTTTTCAACTGTTGGTGAATCTGAAAATTCACCCAGTCCAACAAATGCAAACTCTGTGTCTGCTGGGAGACTTTTCATCTCTGTTTTGTTGAATTGCACCATGCAAGCAGAATGGTGTGTTTGCCCATCATGTACTGAGGAGAATGTGCACCTGTAGGTGTGGATTGAGTGAGAATTGGCTGAGATCAACACAGTTTGCAAGCAGTGCCCCAGCCCAATTAAGAAAACCAGCTATTCGCCCCTAGTTATGATCAATTCTTCTTTGGAATAACGCCTTCACCAACCATAGGTCTTTCGTTAAGCCTGTGGTATAGTATTTCAAAAGGACCGTTGGTTGCCTTCAAACATGGTGTGGTCTGCACTTCTGCCAGAGCGAAGTGAAGGCATGTCTTGTTTGCTATAGCAAATGGGGGAAGAATATAGTTAGAGTGCTAAAGTGAATCCAGGTGCAAGAGTAGACACGGATATGACCCAACAGTCCTGTTTGAAGCTACTGGTGATCATCTGCATGTTGGATTCTGAGAGTGCACACTGCATGCTATCAACATGGGAGGCACATGCACTGTTGTAGGCAGTAGTATGGACGACCTCTGGCATCTTCTCAATATTGACCTGTGACACGAGAGCATTTGTTTGTGCTGCTTGTGGTTGGGTACAACGTGTACTGATCAGCTGCGTGGTCCACATAGGAGTGTATTTCAGGGGAGTAGCCTCTACCCACCATGCTCTGTTCTTCCACAAACTAATAACTTGGACAACAAATCAATGTAATCATTTTGACAATCCGAAATTTCAGGCACCATATCTACTTTCCTGCCATCACATATTGTTCCCTGCCCTCAGTTACAGGCATCTGCATTTGACTGAGCACTAAAAATTGCCCTGTCAAGTGTGTAGATCCCGGAGTCAAATCCATTGGCAATGCATTGGGTGAGGATATTTTCCACACTGGCAGTGCAATAGTTTGGGCACATGCTGGAGTTTAGTCTCGCCTGGGCCGACACACCGTACTCATTCAAGTCAGCAACAGCACTGCAGTTGAGTTTGGAGCACATCTGCACAGCAAGGCGCTCTGCACAGGTGTTGTTGTGCATGTTAGTAAACACGCCGGTGCAATCTGCTGTGATGGCAAGGTTGGTGAATGAGGCGAGGATAATCGCTGCGCAGATGAAGTTGACTGAACAACTTTTGTGAGTAAATGTTAACTAATTTGAAACCCCAGAACTTGAACCCACATTGCATTTCTGTTGCTGCTGTAAGTGTGTAGGAGTCTAAGTGAGTCTGTGCTTTCTGAATCCTGAAAATATTCATCCTGTCTACCCCTCCTCAGTAAACATATCAAGTTTGCTTAAGCAATGAACATCTCAATGTAAAACAGGGTTTGAAATTTGTTCCGATTAAACACTACAGCAGTGAGACTATTAGAGCTACAAGAGGTTTGAAACTGTTTAAACACAAACAATGTTCAAACATGAACATGTTCTGTTTGACCCGATGATCGGTGGAAATGGTCCAAAAAATATCACTTCCCAGACTTGAACTCATGACCACCGAGGTATCAACACAACTTACACTGATAACCACTGCACTCATAACCAGCCACATTACATGATGGCTAAGGTTTGCTATGATTGGACCTAAATCCCTGCCTTCACACTAGTTTTTTCGCCTTCCGGCACCTAGATTTACCATACTAGTTGATCGCTCCTTGCACATTATAACTCCGTATTGGTGTAGGGGTTAAAATTTATTTAAATATTCAATATGCGCTCCCTCTGAATGCCGGCGTCAGGACTCGGACTCCGCACTAGCAGCTTGAACGAAAGAGGCCGCGCCAGGCCCATTCTCGTCACTTCGTTTGTTCCTCTTCTTCTCGTTTGCTTCGATTGTTCGAAATTTCGCAAGTAAGAGACTGCAATTTCAGGGTATATGGTCCGCACGACTGACTGGCTCAAAAGATGGTCGGACGCGTCGCGGGCAGTCATGCCGAATTGAGCAAGACAAAGAAGAAACGAGCGAGAGCGATCGAATTGAGGCAATAGGTAGCACCGGCAAACAACGGCGTCGGGTCCGCCCACTAGGAACGAGGAACGAGTGCTCACTGGCAACTCATTCAAGATGGACTGAGTCCAGCACTTTCCTGTGCAATAGGTCGATTTTCATCGCTAACCCAAGAGTCCAACACCGTGACTTGAAGACTTCCGTCCGCCGCGCTGCGTCAAGTCGGCCGAAATGAGGCCAAGTAAGTCAGCATTGAACTGTTTTCCCGTAGTCATATTTTTGAATACAGTCCCAGAGTGGTAAATTTACATTCTTCAAACCTTCTTTGCATCTGTAGTCGAAGGAAATGTTCAACGCATGCTTCATTCCAGAATACGGAACTGTACCAGTGTTTCGCAAAAGCGGTGTCGAGCCCTCTCAAAACATCTCATGCACTCGACGAAACAAGCGCCATGAGGTGAAAGTATGGCTTCGCAGGATCCATCCTCGACCCAACAAAGTCCCGCACCAGCTTCAACCCGCCGCTCAGCATGTCCCGATCCCCGCCGAGGAACTCATCCTGGTCCACTGGCCCGTTTTTGCCGCCGTCCAGCTCGTATATATGCCCGTCCTTGGGCGAGCGCACGAAGCAGACGTAGTGGCCCGGCACCTCGTCCTCATCGGGCTCGCTGGTTCCTCGTTGTGCAGCACGGTTGTACACTTGTGCGATGCCGTCAGAGTTTTTGAGCGCTGCGGCGCGTTCGGTGGGCCCGAGAGGAATAGAGTTGCGGAGGAGCGTCGCGAGCAGAGAGTCTTTTTCTTTCAAACAAAATCTCAGTCCCGGGCGAGTTTATTATGACAATAATCATTCACTAACTTACCAACGAAGTCGTGCCCAGCAAGATCGAGATTCGCGACGGCGTGCAGCAGAGCAAACAGTCCACAAGCATGCCGCACGGTCTGTTCCCACCACAGCACCGGCTCGCCGTCGCCGCGCCCCGCGTAGCCGCGTCCCTCGTCTCGAGCCTGCTGACGCTCTGCGCGGATGCCCGCTTCGTACGCCCTAGTCGCGTTGTACACGAGAACAAATGCGTGGACCGTGGAGGGCAGCGCCAAGTCTGCGCCCGGAAGCAGGTCATTGGTGTCGATTGAAAAGACATCGCAGAATTCGAGCGACGGGACACCGAGCGCGTGGAGGAGGTCGGTGAATATCTCGGGGTCAGATTCCAGCGGGATACCGCTGAATTGATCTTTGGATTGTAAAGCTGATTCGGCCATTTATTTGCAGGAAGTTACTTATGGAAGGTGAACGCTAAGGTCAAGTGGCAAGCGACGCGTCATTACCGTGACGGCGATCAATTTCGTCGCGGCCCGGACAATTCAGAAATTTAACCAGTGAATTTTCAAGCTCAAGATCCGAGACAAACTGATGTGTGCTTTAGCTTCAAGCATCAATGACCTGGTTCCTACCTCCTTGCTGCCAAAAAGCCAACAAAAAACAAACCGTCGACAGACACAGGGACTTGAACCCCGTCCTGCTGCTGCAACTGGAATGATAGGGCAGCCTTGCGCCGTACACCACGTCCCATTACTTCGGCTTGTTCTTACCTAGACTTGAGCTAGATATTATTGGTATGGACCTGAAGCTTACTGAAGTATAGATCGGTGCCGGGATCGGGTCCTTCGCCGACGCTCGAACTTGACTTGCAATTCAAACGCCCGTGTTTTGACCTCATGTTTCAGAATTGGTGTAGGGGCTAACATTGCCACCTCTGGTTTCAATAATAGGTTGGGTCCACCGCACCTGTGTTCCAGCGGCACACTAGCGTTTGCGAAGAGTTGGCACTTGAATTGCCTCGAGATTTACCATACCTGTCCATCCTAGTTAACCTCTCCCCACACATTATAACTCCGGATTGGTGTAGGGGTTAACATTGCCGCCTCTCAGGAAATTTAGGTTTATGTAAACCCACTGGGTTCGCGGCAGCCCGGGGTTCGATTCCCCGATCCGGAATTCTTTTTTCAATTTTTTTTTCAATTTTTTCTCTTTTCTTTTTGGTACGCGTCTTGTTTCTCGGCAACAGCCTCGAAGGCGGTAAATGACAAGATGTTGCCATCACTCACAACAACGGATGAGTCGATCTAACTTGTACCGCTTGACTCAATCGTCGGCTCCGAAAGCCACCACGTATAAAGGTGGACACCAGACTGTGTGTCGTAATTCTTCATGCGAGTGATCGCGGCAGCCCGGGGTTCGATTCCCCGATCCGGAATTCTTTTTTACTACCCAAATGAAATTCAAACGGCGCTCCGCGCACCCCTGGGACCGAGTGTTCGCCTCCACAATTCCTATCCGGCCAACCAGATATATACACTCGGTTACAGGTATGCAAAATGTCATAATCATTGCCTCCGTCACTCAGAATCAAATTGAATCCCGGTCCACTCGTACGCAGTTCCCGTCACCCTCTCCTTATCCACCCCTGCCACACGACCTTCCGAGATGGCCACCTCCAGCTCCCCCTCGAACGCGCAGTCGCGGATAGGCCGTCCCCCGACACGGGAGCGACACAGGGGACAAGTCCTTTTCTTGTCAGCGAACCACTTGTGCAGGCAGTCGTAGCAAAACACATGCATACACATCGGTCTAGCCGCGCATTCAGTAAGTGTTCGAAACGAGAGCATTCGTACTCACACCACGGGTTTGTACAAGGTGTCCCAACAGATACCGCAGTCGAACACCTTGGAGTCGACTGTGCAGGGAACGTCAGCTCAATCGGTGGACACTGCAACCTCACGCACCTAAACCGTCCCGCACCGATTCATGCACCGAAGAGCCGGAGCCTGAACCATCCGAATCCGGCTCGCTTGCGGGGACGGCACCAACAACTATAAAACCCGTCACACGCATGATAGGTAGCATGCACTTAAGCACTCACGCTCGCGTACTTCCAGTGTTTCCTCCGGCCGTTTGACAGGCATTGGGCGAAGGTAGGACCACCATTCGACGTCGATAGGGTCTGACCTTGAACCCATGTCGACGTTGATCGGCCACCATTCGCGGCCTTCATCCGCATGGTATGGGCTGATAATCGCATCCCCCAGGACGGCCTGCGCGCGGACGCGAAAATAACCGGTGAGCTTAGTTTGGTAGAGGGCAGCACGAGAGGACATTGTAGTTGTCTTCACCCACGGCCATCCCTTATATGTTCAGACGGGCCCCGCCTGGAGACGACGACCACTCCCTATCTGCCTCGTTTGACAGACCGCCATGTATGGCTAATATATTATATAACCCTATGTGCTAGGGCGGGCCTACTACGCCCCCTCAATCGGCGCCTTCAGGGCTCATGCTATTCACCACAGACCTGGGCATTCGCTACTCCGAAGTCCAGCAACACACACAACCCAACTCATGCGAGCAACGGCTCTGCAATTTGAGTATGGCCTCTTTCCTTTCGAGTTCCTTACCACAACGATCCGTTCCAGTTCGGAACAATGGACGGCATGGACAGTTCCCGGACTCCTGACCTCGGAACAAAGGACGGACTGGACAAAGGACGGACTCCTGTAACGGCCAACTCCGTATTGCCCTATCTTTATTTCACTCCCCCGCTATTTCTTTCCCCCTATGAAAACTCGGACACCCACGAAAGCCAGTTGCGCCGACGAAAGCCAGTTGCGCCGGTTAATAGTCACACGCCTGAGTAAGAGAAATGCATCGGGTATATTTAAATAAATGACCGAATTCGCGTATACTACAGGGAATATGGCGTTGTTCAGGCATGGCGCTTTCTGCCCGGCAACATCTCAGCGTACAGTTTGGACGCATACTGGAGTCACTTACGGAGGCGCCTTCCTTCCGGTACGCATACGCGCGGTACGCCCCCGCTTACGCACCGGAGTCGCGGGGGCATCGTTGCGTTCCCTCGACGTATTTCCTGTTGCCTCAGTGCTCGCAGACCTGCAGCGAAATGTCAATTCCCTGATATCGAGCAGTACGGTAGATCTCACCTTTCCCGTTTGAGGCCCACCGGTCCCGAATCGATAGGGTCCTCCTCCTCAGAGGGACTTGCTCTTTGGACAGTCACAGGCGCCCTGAAAGAATTGATTACCGTCGGACAGCAAGCATGGCATTGAGTACGCACACTAGAAGAGTCTCATCGGCTGGTCGGTCAGGCAGGCGGGCGGCCATACCCAGCTCGTTTAGTTCGTCCGTGTCCGAACTTTCGACAACATCTTCTGTACTATGATATGACGCATATCAGGCTCAATCCTGGGGCGGCGAAGAAGAGTAAAACACCTGTGCGCTCGGCCTTTCTCGGAGGCGCTGCCTGGGTTTGCATTTACGGATTCGATCTCGGACAACCCAGCCCCCATCGACTCTTCTGAAAGGGTATCGTCGTCCGTCGCTGCGAGCACGTCGGAATCGAAGTCCAGGACCCTGATAGCGTCCGCGTTTACATAGAAATACTGTTTTCAACGTCAGTTCCCCTCCACCGCAGATGGTAAAGGTGTCACCCGGAGTCTGTAACCACACCGATCGTCAACGCGATGCAACGAAGCGCGTACCAGGACCCAGTCCCCGACGTTGAGGTGAATGTCGGAGGCACGAGTAGCGATCGTCTTAACCAAACCCCCGGGCCCGTCCCTGAAGACGGGAATGCCGCCTACATCTATCTCGATCCACGTTCCCCCAGAACCATCTTCCCGGCAGCTGTCTGTACAAGCGTGCACATCGATATTGAACTGCGTACGTCAGAGCAACTCTCCGCCAGTATGAAATTGACCCACATCTTCATTCATAGAGTCTGCCTCGTCTCCCTCTTTCACCATGGCCGCAAGCTGGCTGACCTGATTGCTGAAGGCTAGGTGCAGAGCCGTCTCGTTCGTCGAGCCCCCGTCGACTCTGAAGACCGGCCTCGGCCCCTAGACAAGAGTCAACAAAGAGTCCATTATATTCCAGACGACTTACGACAGTGTTAATGACCCTCCCGAAAATGAAAGTACTATACCTGTCGCCTTGGTCGTCCGTACAAGCTGTTTCGTCCGCAGCATAGCTGCCGTAGACGCCGAGATGGAATTCGACGTTGAAGATGTCGGTAGCCAGAGAGCGCACAGACTTAGAGTATAGAAAGTCGACTAACTGCTCTTTGGTGTGAAGGACTGCAGGCCAGGCGGGATCCGGCAGAGAGGCCATGTCCAATGGATGTTCCCGCAACGTTTCGGAGTCTCTGCCCTTTTGACCTGTGTGAAATGATTTCCGTGATGCGATCAGGCGGATCGCCCGCGAGACATATCCTGTCAATCGGATGCATCCCTTTATTGCGAGCAGGCTGATCATGCCTTTCGGATATGTACTGATTGGGCTATGGACAGCAACAAATGCGGACTGTATTCGCAACGTAGACCCTACACGAGCTGGTTCCTTCATCTACGAGTGGTATGGACAGTGAGCATTGAGGCAAGCGACCCCCGGTCTGTAAGTAATGTCGCTACCCCTCATAGCGATCAGATTGCTGTCCTCCTCCCAATCGAAGTTACTAACCCCCTCCCCACGCCCAATGCCCTATGCCCGCGATGTCGGTAGAGATGCGGGTTCTCCCCGGCACGCCAAGCCGCACGGCCTCCCGAGTGTCGCGGTGTCGTCCAGCAACTCGATCACACCAGGGAAAGGGGACTCGCGCATTTCGAAGGATACGTCCAACGGTCTAGTGAAAGCGGGGGTGTACCCGGATATCCCTTGAAGATTCGATGTCAAATCCGCGTATGTTGAGATCATCTCCTGCGCAGAAATCGCGTTCGCCATCAACGTGGTGCGGGCACGGAGGAATAATTCGAATATCTCGACGCCGCGGGAGATTGTAACGGTAATTGTCTTGTTCTATGACAGATGAGCGTGAAGATCGCCGCCGGCGTCAAACGGCTCACCCGAATTTCCTTGTGCCTGAAGACCAGCCGTCTCCTGGCGAGCTTCGCATAAAAGCCAACGCACGGGTTGGCGGAGTGAATGGTGTAGCCCAGGTGATCACGCATGCAGGTCACCCATGCGTCCTCAGTCAAGACAGAGCTGATTACGTTTAGGTTGTCCGGGATGTCCAAGTCGCAGCTGAAGGAGAGAGCTGCGAGGGCGACGGAGCCAACGATCCAAGCCCTGCGATCCTCCAGCTGGTAGAAGAAAAGCCGCGCGTCTTCATCCCGGTTGAAGAACGGGGAAGTGTAGTGCTCAATGCGCTCACGGGCCATGGCCATGACATCCCCCCTCGTGAATCGGGACGCCTGCCCGTATTTGAAAAGGGGCAACAGCGGGAGAAACAGCAGGGCGTTGCGACGGACGTCGGCGGTAGCAAAGAACAGATCCCGATAATGGTTGGCACGTAGTTTGCGCCCAGTCCTGGTTTCAATCATAGCGGAGTGATAGAAACATTTCACGCAGACATCCAGCTATTTAAATGTGGCCACTCCAGATAATATAACCCCTCTTATCCTTGACATGTGCATCCCTCGCCGTTTCGCCGATGATGCCGTCCCTGAGAACGCTTGGAAATCGTAAGTTTTGGATCGCATAGAGTCGCGAAACCCCTCACCGCTTCAGGATTGCTTCAACGAGTGCGACATCATCGTCAGTGATATTCACGATAGCCTTGGATTTATTAGTGCCATGTTTGAAGACAAGGACGTTTCCCCGCAAAGGCTGCGCGAGATCCGGCACGAGCTTGTTGACAAGGGCGTTTTCTGGGTACAAGAACAGTCCATGGCGGTCCTGGTTCGCGACAACGAAGCTATAAGAGTGCCTGAGGTCGCAAGGTTCGTCGAAGGGGAAACGATCGATGCGGACGCTAGTCAAGGACGCGTCGCTCGTACCCTCGAAACCGCCTCTGGCCGCGTCGATCCAGAGGTCCGTCTCAAGCTCGGAGACCTTCCGCGCCCGCTCCAAGCCATGGATCACGGGAACTTTGACCCAGAACCGTTTGTCCAGCGTGTTTCCGTCAGGGTACAGCAGACAGGTTTGGA